CTCGGCTCCTCCCGGCCAGGCTGTGGTTTGTTGTCCCGCCGCCCTCCGCGCTCGCAGATGCTCTTTCATCGGTTTACGAGAACCCGTTGTATACAAACATGCTTTAGCTTCAATTAACGCTTAAAACAAAACGCCACTTCTTGCAGTGGATGTTCTTGTGCTTGCTTCTTCCCTCGGATGATAAAGTTAAACGACTTCCTTGGAGGGTTATTAGCTCTACAGCTACAGGGTGTTGAGTGCTGTTGCAGAGATTGTTTCCTGTAAGAGTATTTTCTTCAGTGTTCTGAACAGCAACACAGGGATGTCAATCTATGTAAAACCTTTATGCCTCTGTTCTGGTCCGAGATTATTTATCTTTCTTGAGCCTTGCTTCTGATTTTTAAGTAGTTTCCAAACAGTCTGCCTATCCTGGTCCAGGAGTCTTCAAGTTCAGAAAGTCAAAAGTGAGCCTTGGCTGAGTTTTCTTCATAGTGTCAGACACGCATGTGTTAGACCTGCGAAAGCGTGCTGAAAGCTGTGTGCCGTGTGGACCGATGGAGCGAAAGATAACAAATTAGTGCAAGACTAGAGAGAGGAAGAAGCGTGTGGATGTTCTCAGCTCTGATTTAGCCTTGCTAATCCTATTTTTGCCTTAATGCTGTTGCTTTGTTGTCCCTAGGTTTGTATAATGGAAGTGTTTTGAAACACTTTTTTAAAAAAAGTAGGAACTTGCAATAATGAGCTACAGGCAAGGAACTGTGGAGGAACTGAGTCATGAATAGATTGAAAGGAATAAGGGGCTCCCAGCTGCTCAGAGGTCTGGTAATTAGTAATGTTGTGTTCAAATGAAACAAAAATGGGGAGGAAACATTTCAGCTACACTTGTAATGTAATTTCTCAAAACTTTGAAACTGAAGTCTGTTGCTGTGCTTGTTACGTTTTTGTATGCCAAAACTATTACTAACCGTGTGCTTGGTTCTTCTAGTGTTAGCTTTGTCAGTGAAATGTCCTTGAACAGTGAACAGTATGATAGCATTTTCCAGTGGCAGCCCATCAGTGGCATCTGACCTACAAGAGATAAGGGGAAGGATATACTTGTGGAGAAGGTATATATGGTGGTTTGGGTTTCTTGTTTGCTTGGGCAGAGCTAGGAGGGTGATAACTTATGTAAAATTTTCTTTTGTTCCTTGCCAGAATATGTCAACCAGCAATCCCCTTCAAGTAGGAAGTGCTTCTAGGCTTCTTGTATAGTTGAATGTTCTGTTTGCATCCTCTCTCTTTCAAATGGCACCCTAGTGCTATGTGTACTTCGTGGCTCGTTCTCCTATGCCTAAACCCCTTGAAGATAGCTCATGTCTTCTAGGACCACAGTAACATGGCTCTTTCTTTTTTGATCTTAAAAGTGTAAGACCACTGTTAAGAGATGAGGCTACCTAAAAAGCACCAGAAACTGTACTCTTCTCATGCCTTAAGGGAATTTTGTAATAAATGAAGTAAATGTAAGCATTCTAAAAGGCTGAATGTCTGCATGTAGACTGGTGTTTATCTTTCAAAAAAGATCCTGTCCATCATAGTAGTCATGCTTCAACCTGAAGGGATAGGCCTGTTTCCTACCCGCCCCCCCCCCCCCCCCCCCCCCCCGCCATTAGCTCAAGCTTTTGCTCTCGTTCTTGCTTTAAATCTCGTATCCTGAGATGTACTTTTCCCCTCCTTCATTCCAGTGCTGCTGCAAGATCTTGGTGGTGTCTGAAAGTGGCAGCTAAAAAGGTTATTGAGAATTTCATAAAAGACAGCTACCAACTTTGTTTAAAAAAAAAAAAAGAAAACCCAAACAAATATAAACCTGAAAGTTGCATATTCTACAAATAAGAGATCTTGCATGCTTTCTGAGTACATATGACAGTGATAGTCCACGTTAGAGAGTCTTGAAGCACTTGTAGGCTACAAAGTTGGATTGCCCACCAAAATTTATAAAACCCCTTCAGGTAGTGCCCCATACTATTTCAGCCTCTATTTGATGTTGCCAGTAGGCTTACTGTAGAGACAAAAGAACAGAAATGACTCTCAGTACGGTACAGAGGTAGGCTATTTCTTACTACAGTAAAAGAAAAAGGAATTTAAAAAAAATTGGAACTTTTTATATCCGTAATTTGAATAAGATATTTACCTACGTTAGTAGCAAATAGTAAGGTGGCAAAACTGTATTCTAAGAAGTGGACCTGGGATGGTTGCTGTGTAGGGTGATGATAAAAAGACTGAAGTATTGAGGTACGCCGTGATTTCACTGAAACGTAGAGTTGGTACTGCTGCTGGAAACAGTCCTGTCTGTCTTCAATAACTTATTTCTCCTAGCAAAAGTGAAGTGACAGTGCAGTGCAAATATATAGCTGAACTGGGAACTGGATTTGGAAGTGACCCAAATCAAAACTATTCTCCCTGCCATCCTCCTTTTCCTAGTTTACTATTAACCTGGATTAGCTTCCATATAGAGTTGACTATGTGGCAACGCAAATGTTTGTGCTGACTCAAAGAAAGAGCAGAGTAAGGGTGAGAACAAACAGGGGAACTGATTTTCTTTCTGGTTCACTTATACTAGTTTTAAGTGTTTGTGAAACTGTGTTGCTAGTAGCAGATCTCTTAGTGTTGTGTTAACCAAAATTTTTGATGAACCTTTTAAACCTGCAAATGAAAATAAAAGGTACAGTAACGTTTTCTTATACGTTTTCCTTAAACTGTGTTGGTACTCACTGGCTTTCGCGTACTGAGTCAAGCATGCTTGCATAAAAGTAAAAACAGGTTCTTTAAGATGAAAGATCTATATCAGATATATTCTTGAAGTGCTGGTGGAAGGGCACAGAGTTAACCAGCATGCTCCCCCTTCTTCAGATTTTGCAAGTCCTTACGATAGTGAAGAGTGTGTATGAACTGGCTATATCCATAACAAGTGATGCAAGTAAAGGGATGTGACTCTAGGATGTCTTTAGGTTCTTGAAAGTTGCTGTGAGTTGGAAACCTCACAGAAGTTATATTTTAAAGACAGTTTTATACTTGTATGTACATATTTTTGAGTTTTGAACTCTTTCTCTTCCCTCTTAAGACCTGATAATATCTATAGCGGCACAATTTCTTGGCTAAGCATCTTGTCCTTTGCAAAGCAGTAATGCTTTTTCAGAAAGATATGTGATAATCTGGCTCATTTGCCTTCCAGAACTCTTAAAGTAAGTTTAAAAACAAAGATGTAACTGAGAGAGGCCTATTCCAAGCTTTAAATATAAATTTAAAAAATCTAGCAGAAAAAACAGGCTAGTGTTTGCCACAAAGAAAAGGCAAGAAGGTACTGCTGTGTAATGGCTTACTAGCTGCTCTGTCATTTTTCAGGTTTTCTACCAGTGGTTCTTACATGCAATGTCCTACTACAAAAGATCAAATGTGCCTTAGATAGGGGATATATTTCTACTGTGGTATTGAGGAAGTTGAGGCAAAACACTATTACTCACTTCTCTAAACTGACTCTCGCAAGAGTTTTTGCTGGACTTGAAATCTTAATTAGATGAAGACTATAGAAAAAGTATGCATAAAAAGATAAGAAAGTCAGTTCACTCTGGACAGCTTTCTTTTTCCCTTCCCCAGCAAAACTATCCTATGAGGACAACTCCGTCAAGTCTTCACTGCTGCCTCTATCTTTTTCCTCTTTTTTCCTGCCTCGCTACTGTTCATTTTCCACAGAGGTCCTTATTGCAATGCTTTTATTTGAGAAATACATCAGAAGTTTTCTGGTATGCTTCTTCTAAGGATAATGTGGTCTTTTCATCCCATCCTGATTTGAAAGAATTAACTTAAACTAGGCTGGAATTACTCCTCAGCATGGGCAAATTTTGAATACAAATACATTAGTGGTATATCTGACTCCTGTTTTGGAGGATAGGGAAACAGGGTATATAAACTTCTTGAGTACTAGTAGTTCTGCAGTGGAAATAAGACTCATAATACGTGTTTTTAAATTATTTCATATTTTGCTGTTGCTCTCTCCCTCCTCCTCCCCCCCCCCAAAAAAAAAAGAAAAAGAAAAAGAAAAAAAGAAAAGGGGGTAGGGCAAGGGAGGATGTATGTGAAGGGAATAATTTTGCCAGGCTCCTAGCCTGAGATTTTTCAATGACACTAGAATGTAAAGTCTTTCCAAGTTATTGAGTATCATGCAGATCACACTGGGAGATTGCTAGTTGGTACGTCAGTGCACTGCTGGGCCCTGTGTGTTCTTACTACATGCAAACATCAAAACTGGCATGTGCCCTATAAAGCCTAATCTTCGAGCTCATGATAGGCCCTGAAGGGGGAATCTCAGAAGCTGTAGGATGGTTGGAGGGGAAGAAAGAAATGCTATGTTACCTTTTCTCTTTTCTCTAGACTGGTAATCAAACATGGGCTTTTTGCAGGAGGAGTCAGACACAAAATGTATTTTTGGGAGAGGTGGGCAATCTAGAAGATTTATCAATTACTTCTGTCGCTATTGCATCCGGTAATACAACTGTCAGTTCCTTAAAGCCTATATGTGTATGGAGCACAAAGTGCTGGTGGTTATTGGGGGAACATAAAGAATACTTACTGATAGATCTAATAGTGATTCAATAGAAA